GGGCAAGATTCAACTAATTCTCTCTTCAAAAGAAGATAAAAGACCGCCCTCTCGCATCAAATCCATCAAAACCCTACACCCACTATCCGTGATAAAAACACCCTTATACAATCGTAGCCTTTTCTCGTCGTCTTCCAGCTTTTCCGCTAAAACGACGAAGTCAATGGCGTAACCACGTACAAAATCTTGTCTCGAATCTTCTATGCAAATCGCTTAAAATCAATTATTAATTCTCTCCCTCATGCCCGACTTCATCTTCTCCGTAATCACTTTTCCTGCCACTTTTCTCCCTGTTTCCATCCCTATTTGCTTTTGTCGATATGCAAGCTGTTGCTCCTACAGATGTGCCATCTGCTCCGCTCTTTGTTGACAGATTTTGCTGGAGTAAGTAGATAAAAAGCACGACGTTTCCAAAAATCAAATCGAGGACAAAGTCTAATAAAATCCGGGACAATTTTGAGCACATTTCCAATACATTCATCAGATCCAATACAGAACAAATAAAAAATTGTTTTCTTTTTTTGGTTGAAGAACAAACAAAATTTTCCACCACCACCATATCCAAAATTTATTCATCCCTAAATTGATGGCTATTTTTCTTTTTGGTAAAAAGTGGAAATTAAGAGGGGGGAGGGGGAGTGATGAGCTGGCGCACTTCCTAATGATAGAGTAAATCGCAATTGGACCAGGAAACGCGCTTCCCTCTTTGCGGCTTCCAGGTGGCGCACAGCTGTATGGTGCCTCTCCGAGAATGGCCTGATTCCTCCTACCAAAACGACGTTGTATCCAGCGCCGACAATTCACACACCACCTCCTTCCCTAATCCCGACTATACCCTCCACTGACCGTTACCTTAACCTCCAACGGTCACTTATCCGCACCCGAAAATGAACTAAACGACAAAGCTCAACTACTAGTCCGCATGGGTACCCACGTCATTTCATTCAGCTATAGAGGGGGTCTCGATCGTGATTTCTGCGCACCGTCGGGGGTACTATGGGAATCCCCAAGTAGAATAACAGCGAGAGAGAATAATAAACAGAGAGAAACAAAGGGGGGAGAGAAAGAAGGAAAGAAAGAAAGGAACCGAGGTGTCGGCAAAGGAAGCGAGTGGGCGCCGACGAACTCAGTGAGTTTGAGAAGGACTCGGTTTTTCCTTTTGCTGGTTTTTCAAGCGAGGCTACAGCGAGAAAAGAGGAGGAGGAGGAGGAAGGAGCTATGGCGGATTCGAGCGAGTCAGTTTCCATTGACATTGATATGCTGTCTTTTGGTGGCAAGGTAAAGAGCAATCTCACAAGTTCTATGGGAAACAAGCTTGAGAGCTTCTCCTTACAATGGTGGATTTGATTTCTGGTGTTTTTGGCTCTTCTGATTTTTTTTTTTTTTGCTATTGGGGAAACAGGAATGTGTGGTTAAAACGAGCAAAGGTTCAATTTCTGTGTACGTTTGTGGGGATCAGGAGAAGCCGCCTCTGATTACTTACCCAGATGTTGCTCTCAATTGTAAGTCTACATTTTCTTGGTGCTGGATTTAAATGAAGCTTTTTCTCCTTTTTCTTTTTATATATTGTTGCTTCTTATTCTTCCCCAAGCTGGGAGATTCAATGGGAGGTTCTTGTCCTTTGGTTTCGTTTGAAAAGGAAAGGGGACTGCTTGTTTTGTTGGTTTTTGCTGGATTCGGTTTGTAGATTTTGAGTTTTTGAAGCTGCTGCGATGTGGTGAAATTGAGCTTCAGTAATTTGAATTGGGCTGTAATGGGTTGAGACTGCAATTTTCTTTGTTTTCTTGGCTTTCGTTGATTGCTGTAAATGTTTTTCTGATGTGCTGGAACCAAGGATTGGAGGATTTAATGTTATCTTCTGAATGGTTGCCGTGCGTGATTGCTGAACATTTTTCTGTGCTTCTTTCATTGAATTCTGTAATTTAATCATGGCTTCGTGGGTTTTTGCAGCCATGTCTTGCTTCCAAGGATTGTTCTTTTGCCCAGAAGCAGCTCCTTTGTTGCTTCACAACTTCTGCATATACCACATTGATGCCCCAGGCCACGAGGTTAGCGTCTATCTTTTAGCTGAATGTGAAGCTTCTTGTTCCATTGATGCCTTTGTGTGATAGTAATACTAGCCACATTTTTTGTTTAAGAGTTGTTGCAGTTGGGAGCTGATGTTATTTCTTCAGATGCTCCACTTCTGAGTGTTGACGACTTGGCAGACCAGGTTGCTGAAGTGCTCGATTACTTCGGGTGTGGAACCACAACCATTTTCCCATTGTCTTTTCAGTCTCCTTTTATTTTTGAGTTATTAACTGAAGGTCTTCTTTTTCAGGCTGCAAAAGGTCCTGTGCTTGGGTGTTACTGCAGGAGCTTACATCCTTACACTATTTGCAGTAAGTTAATAGTCAAAGTACCCTAGTCAATTCCCCTTTCTGGGATTTCCCATATTTCCTTCTGACAATTCTTGCCTTTCATTTGCAGATGAAATATAGAGAATCGGTGCTCGGGTTGATTCTTGTTTCTCCCATTTGCAAAGCTCCTTCATGGACTGAATGGCTTTACAATAAGGTTTATGATTAATCTATCCTTAGCTTCACACCTCCATGCTCTAGAATGATCAAACTAAAGCCCTCTTAAGATATATGTCAAACATTGAATCAACATTTCTACCCTGATTTTCAGGTTTTATCTAATGTATTATACTTCTATGGAATGTGCGGGATAATGAAGGAATGCCTCCTCCAGCGGTACTTCAGTAAGGTATTGTTGGTGAGTGATGGTCTAGTGTTGTTCTCTCATCTCTTCTCGGCAAAAAATCTGATCATATTCTTGGTTTTTCTAATATAGGAAATGAGGTGTGGTATACAAGGAACTGAATCAGACATCATTCAGGCCTGCAGAAGGGTGAGAAAATTTCTCTCATAATTGCTTTACCCCGTTTTTGTGTTGTGATCAACATTTTTACTTCAGTTCTTGGTAAATTTTATAATTGAGAACTTGTGAATCTACTTGGAACTAACACTACCATAAGTTCAAGACAAATTAGTTCATGGAACAGCTATCGTTTATGATTTTTTGGTTAGTTAATATGTGTGTTGAAAAGTCATTCTAATGGTTGGTATGTGATGCAGTTGCTTGATGAAAGGCAGAGTTTGAATGTGAAGCGTTTTCTTCAAGCAGTAAATGAGTATGTACTTGTTGTTAATTATTACTAGATGCTTCGTCAAAATATATCTGCTTCCTCTCTATTTCTTTTGTTTCGGCCCTATTCTTTCTCAATTTTTGAGGAAAAGGTAATATTAGAGGAAACCCTGGGCTTACTTTTTGAACTCTATGTATGCTGCAGGAGGCATGACCTTTCAGACAGCTTGCACAAATTGGAGTGCAAGACACTTGTATTTGTAGGTGAAAGTAGTCCGTTTAGAGATGAAGCTGTGTATATGAGTTCGAAAATGGGCAGAAAAAGCTGTGCTCTTGTTGAGGTATCATTTCATTTATGTTACTGAACTTATTGTTTGGGGTGCCTGCAAGTCCTTCTAATGCTTGGTTCACTTACGAAAAGCCATATATGCTTGGAACAGGTTCAGGCATGCGGCTCGCTGGTAACAGAAGAACACCCATATGCAATGATAATCCCCATGGAGTTCTTTCTCATGGGTTTTGGCTTCTATAGGCAACACCCTATGGCTTCTTCTTCATCTAGTAATGGGTCTAACCATTCGAGTCCCTCGCGGCAATGTTGCATAGCACCGGAGCTTCTCTCCCCCGAGAGCTTGGGGATTAAGCTGAAACCGATCAAAACCCGCATAGACATCCAGTTCTGACGCAACATTGAAGTAAAAGATGAGATGGTCGGGGAAAGGAAAGCAAGCATCTTGATCTCAGTGCACATACTATGTGTAGTAGAAGCATCCAGAACAAAAAGTCTATATACTCGGCAATGATATAGATGGTATATATATAAGATATATGTGTTGGTATTCTTTGATTGTATTGGCGGTAGGAGAAGTATTGTGATTCAGTTGGTGGGGAGGGGCTTTGAAGTTTCTTCTACTTCACTTGTATGATGAATGAAAGATGCAGTGTAGATGAAGGTGGGGAAGGGAAAGGAACAAAGAATTAGGATCCTTCTTTCTCTAGACATTCATTTGTAGGTCCTTTTCTTCTTTTCTACTTTAGGTGTTTTATGTTGATCTCATTCATCTCTGTAACTCTGTTTTGTTTTCTGTAATAACCTGATGAATGACGAAGAAGAGAGTTGGAGGTTCTTCGGAGAATCGCCCTTCAGATGATTTATCGGTTTGTGTTTGAACTCGTTTGTCCCTTTAGCAAGTGCAAAGGTTGGTCGATGTCACTTTTTATTGTGCAAGAAGTTTTTTCAACGATCAGCGTCTCGCGAATTTCATTTCCCAAACATTATTTTAGCAATTGCTTAAACTTAAAGGCAAAATACACTTGTATAGCCATAACTTTCACGTTTGTGACAAATATAACCATAACTATTCGAAAACACGAAATAGCCAGGAGTGTAAATGTTACATGCCAAATCTAGCCATTTCCGTTACAAACTTTAACGGTGTTAATAAATCCGTTAGTTAGGTTAACGTTAGAGTAACTAGGATGCCAAATCATCGGACACATAAGCCACAACTCATTCATACTTGCCACATAGATGCCATGTCATATTTTAATTAAAAAATTAATTTCTCTTTCCTCTCTCCCCCACTCACCTCGTGTCCACCACCGACCTCCTATCCTTTCTTCTTCTTCTTCTAGCGACCACAAATATGGAAAATTCTTCCCTCTTTTAGAAGGTGAAACAAACAGCTCGGATGGAGAACATGTCTTCTTTATTCTTGGTTCTGCCACCGATTTCTTCTTTAGAGTTTGCGGCGTCGAGGTCACCGGAGTCAGCAACGATTGGCGGATTAGGGATTTCTCTGCATCAAGATTAGTGTTCATAGATTGGGGATTTTGATTTCAAAATCCACTATCGTCGTCGAAATTGATTGTTAACTTGCAATTGAGGGATTCAAAACCCAGGAAACCAAAAAACCCAGGAAACCAGTACTCTGCGAAGAAGATTGCTGCCCTCCTAATACCCAGCAGCGCGAGCGCCAGAGAGGAAGCGCATCCCAATACCCTGGCCGCCACGAAGTACGGCTGCCGCCTGTACTTGCCGACGGGGAAGACGTCGATGAGGAGGCCCAAAAGCCCTGGATGAGGTCGTAGACAACGAAGATCCCGAGGATGAATGTTGGGTTGAGGTTGGAGGACAGTAGTTGTAGCCATTGAAGGGGCTCGAGCAGGATGGATTTGGAGTTGGAGAGATCACTGGAAACCATCTGGTGGGGCTGCAAATGGGAAGACGTCGGCGGCAATCCGACGGAGCCAGAGTGCAGGCTCAGCACGATGGCGTGGGTAGGCAGGGGAGAATATCTGGATGGCGGCGGGACGCGACGGAGGCAGTGGAAGAAAAGAACAGGGGGTTCAAGAGGAGGAGGGCTGGGAAGTGGCGGGATCATCGGAGGCGGTAGAGGAGGGGTCGGAAGCGGCGGGATCATCGGAGTTGGGTTTTCAACCGCCAATGCTCTGATGAGGTTCGGATCCGGGAACGGGAGTCGAAACCGGCGATGACAACCGCCACCGTGGGGAAGAGCGGATCTGGAATTGAGAAGAGGGATGCGTTTTTTGTGGCGGAAGATGAAAGAAGAGAAAGAGGAGAGAGAATAATAAAAAAATTAATTAATTATTATTTTGTTTTCAATTAATTCCACCCTATATCATTATTGATAAAATATTGACAACTCAGCATTTTCCGTTAGTCCAGTCATAGCGTTAGATGACACCGTTAAAGAGATGGACGGAATTGGCTATTTTGTGTTTTCAAATAATTATGACTATATTTGTCAAAAACGTGAAAGTTAATTAATTATTATTTTGTTTTCAGTTAATTCCACCCTATATCATTATTGATAAAATATTGACAACTCAGCATTTTCCGTTAGTCCAGTCATAGCTTTAGATGACACCGTTAAAGAGATGGACGGAATTGGCTATTTTGTGTTTTCAAATAATTATGACTATATTTGTCACAAACGTGAAAGTTATGGCTATACAAGTGTATTTTGCCAAACTTAAACCTTAAATTATCTTCAATTCTTGGTGAAGGGATCTATCTTACAGCTCCTTAAGATGTCCATCCACAACACTCCAATTGTCTACGGGTTGGATCACATCCTTAAGCCCCAAACTTAAGGAGTTCCTTAAACTTTGCCTAGCCAATAAGGAGAGGAGAGAGAGTGATGAAGGCTAACTAACTAAAAGGATAAATAGGGTAATTTAATTAATTATTCAACGTAATTAGTATTAATTATTAACAGAGAAAAAATAGAAAACAAGTCCCTAAAATCCGCCACTTTCCTGATTTCCATATTCTCTCTCGTTGATTAAAGAAACTACTCGAGCGATCCGGAAAAATCCGCCGGCCGAGTCCATCAACGGCGAGAACGGGTTTTTTTGCAGCATTGTCGTATTTGAAGCCCCCATCGACGCCGTTTTTGAAGCCGACAACGGCTCCTGGTTTTGCATCGTCGACAGGATTCAAAGCCGGCACCGTCGACCGAAATCGAAAGTATTACAGCGTCGCCAGAATCCTATCCTATTCCTCGTCAGTCGTCACCATTATCAGTAATGGACAATCCGCATAGTTTCGCGATAGACATGTAGTTGCTATATGTCCACAAATTTTACATGGTTTAAGACAATTGTTAAAGGTTATGTAATCATTATTAATGATTTACCTTATCGTTATTACCATTTTAATGGCATGTTCTCTATTGTTTTTCTCCTCGTGAAATTTAAAATTTTCGTAGAACATTGTAGGTAAATTCATTAATGATATAGCGGGGTGTCAGTGGTAAAGGTTGCTAATGGTTTTTTATTTTTTATAGTGTGTTGTTAACAATTTTTGTTTGAATTATTAGTTATTTTCAATACCATTATCAATAATATCCTAATGTAGTGTTGGTGAATGTTATTAACGTGTTGTCTGGACATGTTTAATCAAACAATTGTGGGATCATTAACACTAATGGTGTTCATTGTTAAAAAAAACTGTGAAATCGTAGTACAACTCTAGGAGATGTTGTAGCAATTATTGACGCTTATGAAGGAATCATGAAACTTATATCACATCGTCATTATCGGCCTGAATAACATTATCATTGATATACAACATTTTTTCTAATGATTCACGTTTTCACACCATGTTCATGACTAGCTAATCACATCATCTTCCATTGACATTATTAACGTTTTGCGATGAATTGATATCGGTTTACATTGTCCTTCTCAGCGATCATGAAGCACAACTCTTATTTTCAATATATTCGACACTTGAGACAACATGCATTTATGATTCACTCAAGCAAACATTAGTTCATGGAGGTGCAAAAAACATCATCCAAGCAAAATGAGATTAACACCCTAGCACAACACCGTTAATAATGATACATCAATTCATTGATAACATAATTGTATTTCATTGAAAATAAGCATAAAAATTTAAAACATTAATAATGTCTCCACTCAATGTTAAGTACCAAATATCATCCAAAACTTTCATATGAATGTTGTGTTTCATTCGAAAATAAAACAAAAACATTAACATTAAAAAATGACTCCAACGGTTAATAGCGACATTGTAAATTATCAACCATACTATGTCTCTTTAAAATACAAAGCAAACACGTTAATAGTGATGGGAATTAATGGTTATTAACCATAGTATGCGTTATTAATAACTCCTTACAAAAAATTATAATGCTTATACCCTATCCTTAAAATGACAAAGATAATTATTAACATTTTGAATAACATTATCATGGGTTTGCAACATCCTTTTTAGTTTTTAACGAGGATACCTGGTTTCAATGATAGGATTCAAATTAAAAAATTGCATTAAATCGTTAATACCGATATTGAAAATCTTTAATAACGAATGAATAAGTCGCTGATAAGGGAATTTGAATTTCATTGATTAATCTATCGAACTACAATTCACAATTCTTAGCCTCTCAATGTGAACCTCAAATTTTTGGCTCAATTCCAAACAAATCATGAGATTGACTAATTTAACTACTGGCCGGAGGGAATATTGTTAATAAAACTCGATGGATTATTAATAATTTAAATGACATGCAATTATCATTAGTCGGTTACCTTGTCGTTGACAACATCATGTTAAAATGTTGATAATTCTAATCCAAACTTTAATTATGGTAGTGCCTAAGATTGATAATTATTGATGTAGTAGTCGGAGGAATCTCCTATCTTTATGCCTCTCTCTTTTACTTCCGTCGACGGCCACGGTCGGCTGCATTATTGGAGACACGCAGGATAAAAGTATTAAAAAAATAAAAAAAACCATAACGTAATGAACTCCTTAAAATCCGGCCCTCTCTCCTTTAATTAAATTTAATATTACTCAATGCCCTAATTAACCTTAACTACCCCGTAACCATTAACCAAATATTAACTACCTTAAACACTTTCAGCCAATAGAAATCACTTAAGATTCTTCTTAAGTTTCTACCCTTAAGGACGTGAACTCATCCCAATTGCCTACCACCTAAATTTACACATCATGTAACTGTAGTATAATTAAAGCATTAAGCAAATGTCTTACGAAAAAAAGAAAGCGTTCAACAAATGGAAATACGAAATTTATACACCACTCATGACGAACTTACGAAATTAATATATATAAATATAAACAAGAGTTAATGTTCACTAAGAATGTTAAACCTCTCGATCCTGTTTTATTGACTAATTATTTTTGTTTGTTGTTGGGCTCCTGATCAGTTTTGAATTTGAGAATCACTATTACTAATTCTCTATGTTATACGACATCGTTTCCTTTTTTTCTTCCAATATGACTTCATTCACAATCTTTACTAATAGAGCAATTAAGCCTACGACAGTCGGACTATCACATCATGATTTCGATGAGAGTGGCGATCCACAACTGTTGAAATAACGGAACCCCTTCCTTTTGATTTGATTTCGGTTCTCGGTGGGTCATGCCGCGTGGAGGGCCTTATAACTAGAACTATAACCATGATTTTGTATGCGGTGAGATGCATTGGAATACATGAATGAAGTTGTGTTATGGAAAATAAGAAAGAAAAAAAAAAAAAAATAAAGGATTGAAGACACATAATTGGGTAACAACAACCGCATTGTTTGTGTGGAATGAGGGACAGGGCAGCAAGAACCACATCGTTTGTGTGCGGCGCCTATTTTTCTCACTAGGTCAGGATGAAAATGGATCAACTCATGTGTCGACTTACTGCAAGGTTCTCGGGTTGAAGGCATACAACGTCGTTTTCCCGTTAATTTGCGAAATGGGCAACTTTCCCGGTTTTCCTTTTACTTAACCCTATTTTTGAAATTCTAAATTGAACATTTGAATATTAATGTTATAAAATTATATGTTACTAACCATATATTAAATTTTATTTAATATAATTTATAAATGTATAAATGTATAAACAATATAACAATTTTCTATACATTCTACCTAAAGCGATCAGACCATTAACCATAAACCTACTTGATCGACCGGATTGAGAACCTTGCTTATAAGTGAAAAAAGAAACACAACTTCCCGCAGTAGAGTCCATGTTAAAGTATGTACAGTGCGTAGGGGTGGATGTGGGATGCTTCTGTCGAGTTCGGATCGGACCCAATTAATGTGTTAGAAACAAAGGGGTTTAGGGTACGGACTATTACTTATATTGTTAAATAAATATAATTACTATTAGCAACAGAGAAATTCGGTTAAGTTGGGCCGAATGAGTTTGGATTAATGTTAGGGTTGGGGTGTCTTTCTATTATAAATATGTACCATGAGTTTATGTCAAGATTAATCAGAAATGTATTATCGAAATATCTCTCTCAAAACCCTAATAGCTCTTCCTCTCAATTCGTCACCTATTCCTAAAGGCCGTCGATCATTCTTCTACTCGATCCCCAAATTCTTCTTCTAAATCACTAGATCCCCAATTATGTTCTTCCCAATCTCAATCCCTAATTCTATTCGAAACCCTAAAGAATCGTAGTTCTAACAATGGTATCAAAGCCTGGTTGCGAATAAGAGTTCATAACAACTCTCAACCGGGAACGAGCGCATAATTGAAGATCTCGAGCAAAATATTCGTAGATGGGATTATCCACATTGTGTTAAGTTATTCGTCTCCTAACACGGGTTCGAATTCAAGCATATATGTATCCAAAAACATGCATCGAATGAGCTAACATTTACGGGGGAGCGCCCACTGGTTACGAATGCAGATGGGTCCGTTTCTGAAAGCAGATCGAAGTAGAGGTGGCAATTGGATCGGATTCGTGGATTCGTGGATTGGATTGGTGGATTGATCCATGAATCCAAATGACATCCAAGACTTGGACCAAAATGTAAAATTTGAAAAGTTTAGGTACTAAAATGTCATAATGAAAAATTTTAGGTACCTAAATGTAATTTTCCAATGATATTTTTTGTATAAAAATATAAATTTTAGGTACCAAAATATAAAATATAAAAAATATAGGTACCAAATCGTAATTTGCCATTTGGATCCATGAATTGATCCATGAATCCACCAATCCAATTGGATTTGGATCAAAGGGATTGGATTTAAATGAATTGGATTAGATGGATGGATTGGATTCATGGATTTGGATCCTAATTGCCACCTCTAGATCGAAGGAATTCACGACATGGCACACTGCCGTGTTGGCCTCATAAAAGCAAACTCTACATTAAAATCCCCAAAGTTGTCGCATCTCCCGTCCATGACGAAGAGGCAATAACCGTAGAACCACCATATGATGTCGAAGAAGGCCAGACCGACGAGTTGCCGTAAGCACCGACGAGTGAAGCGGATGTGACCGCGGCGATCTCGACTAAATCATGGCGGAGGAAGTGCAGTGGAAGGTGGAGGCGCCAGCGGTAGCTAGCAGCGCCGAGGTTGGTAATGGCCAGGTGGATGAGGCGGTGAACCCGATCAATCTACCACTATCATCCAGCGCTAACGCCAGCGAGCAACTGGAAAAAAGCAGATCCAGTGGCCGTAGAGGCCGCACCAACTACTATCTCTATTATCAACGGATCGACAAAGGAGCTGATGACCCCTCCACCATCTCCGCTCATCGTCCATTAATCAGTTGTCACTACTCACTAAAGTGATTGTAGGCGAAGGCCGAGCTAGGCCAACTGCTCATCCTAAGAAGACGAAGGTAGGAGCCTCCCAGAGCGTCACTATATTTGTGCAAGGCCTAGCTCCAATTACCTCACGAGGTGGTTGTTTTTGCCAAAAAGCGTGGGAGGTGAAAAATTAGATGGGGAAAGAGAAGGTATCACTCAACTGCCCTTACTCTTCGAGAATTCTGTGCATGCCTAGGGAAATTAACTGGAAATTTTGGAGGAAGAAAAAGGCGATGTTTTCTCGGAATATGGAACAAATTAAGATAGTTGGTAGTGTTGTGCTAAGGTCACCGATAAAAGGAAGGAATCATTGGGGTTGCGAAGCTTGTACCAAGACTAACAATAGAAGTGAATGTGAAGCTCGTCAGGGGAGCTGTAAGGGGTGAGCTTGATGTCGTTAGTTTAGTAGGAGTTCGGATTGGCAGGAAATTGCTTTCAATAAAGGGGCGGAATGTGTACAATGACAACCACCAAATTTGGTGTCACAGTTTGAGTTTGCATAAGCTTGTGGAAGAGATGGAAGCGTTGAAGAAGGAGGAAAGCTTAGTTGACGATAATGTTAAGAAGAGTTGCGGAATTTCCCTCCTGCTGGCATTGCTAGTGCTGCTTGAAGAAAATATCGAGCACACAGAGATCGATTCGGGAAACCATCAAGCTAGAAGCTGCAGAGTTGATTTCTATTTATACTCCATTTCCAGATTTACTGTTCTCAAACGGTAAATGAAACAGAAAATAAAAAATCACCCTGACACGTGGTGAAGTCTCCAAAAGGTAAAGTAACGACTAGAAATTACAAAAACGACGGTGTTGCGTTTCGGACGAATGCTCGAAACGTTTCCCATACAAGGAATCGTATTCGAGTCCGAAACGCATTTGAACTCCAGCTTCTTCGTTTCCCGCTAGTCGGCATTGCAGCTGACGAGCTCTGATCAAGTCTTCTTACAGCCTCCCTCAAGCTGGAGTGTCTGCACTCCAAGCTTGTCGAGCAATTCAGCAATTCGATACCTGCTCAAAGCCTTAGTAAAAAGGTCAGCAACTTGATCAGCTGTTCGAACATGAAAAAGCTTGATTAACCCAGATTTTACTCTGTCTCTTGTCACGTGCATATCGATCTAGATATGCTTAGTCCTCTCGTGAAATACTGGGTTATCAGCAATATGAATCGCTGATCTGTTGTCACAGAAAACCGAAATGGGAAGCTTAATATTGACACTCAATTCTGCAAGTAAACCTTTCATCCACTGCAACCAATTGAGCCAAAGCTCGATACTCTGCTTCCGAGGATGACCTGGACACCGTCGTTTGTTTCTTCGCTTTCCAGGTCACAAGGGAATCTCCCAGGAACGTGCAATAACCACTAACAGACCTTCTTGAATCAGGGCAGCTTGCCCAATCAGAGTCACTATAGCCTGAAAGCTGTAAGGAGGACTCACTTTTGAAGAAGATCCCTTGATTTGGTGTTCCCTTGATGTACCTAAGTACCCTGTAAGCAGCTCGAAGGTGTTCAGTGTAAGGATCCTTCTGAAACTGACTGAGTTGCTGCATAGGAAAGGTGAGATCGGGTCTATTTGTTGTCAAATAGTGTAACCTCCCAACAAGTCTCCTATACTGCTCTGGATCCTCTAATGGTTGTCCCTGCTTAGCTCTCAAGTTCACTTTAGGGTCAAAAGGTGACTTACAAGGTTTAGCATCAATGTATCCTGTGTCCTTTAGTAGTTCCAAGCAGTACTTGCGTTGGCAAACAGAAGTGCCTGCACTACTTCTAGCAATTTCCAGACCCAAAAAGTACTTTAAAGTACCCAAAATCCTTGATCTTGAATTCCTTACTAAGGAATGTCTTCACTTCTTCAACACCTTTTCTATCATCTCCCCCCAAGATAATGTCGTCGACATAAACCAACAGCACCACAAATCGACCATGAACCCACTTGGTGAACATAGAGTAGTCTGAGGTAGACTGTGTAAAACCATTTTTAAGCAGAGATAAAGTGAGCTTGGCAAACCATTGCTTGCTCGCCTGTTTTAAACCATACAGAGACTTTCGAAGTCTGCAAACAAGTTTCTCTGGTCCATTTGCTCTAGGATCACTAGGTGGTAAGACCATGTATACTTCCTCTTCCAAATCACCATGTAAGAAAGCATTTGAAACATCCATTTGATCTAAAACCCATCCTTTGCTGGCAGAAATGGCTAATAACGTTTTAACTGAATTGATTTTGGCCACAGGTGAATATGTGTCCAGAAAATCAATTCCATACACCTGAGTGAAGCCCTTTGCCACAAGTATGGCTTTGTTTCTCTCAAGTCTACCATCTGGCTTCCTTTTAATTTTGTATACCCACTTATTCCCTATTGCTTTCTTCCCAGGAGGCAATGAGACAACATCCCAAGTGTTGTTTGCCTCAAGTGCTTCCCCTTCTTCATCCATGGCTCTCCTCCAGTGCTCATATTGAGCTGCCTCAGCATAAGTGGTAGGTTCAACTTCAGAAATCACACTCAATGCATAAGCCTGATCAGTAGGGGAAAGGGACTCAAAAGTGAGGCAACTGTCCATAGGATACTTGCTGGTCAAGCCAACATGATAATCTCCAAACTTGACAGGTAGTTTGCCTCTATTAGCTCTAACAGGTCTTGGCTCAAAGTCTGTTTGAGGAGCAAGTTCTGAAGCTTCAGAATCATCTGATTCAGTCTCCTCTAACTGATCAACAGGAGAAGAAGAGCAAGGAATATCAGGGGAAGGAGAAGGAACTGTGACTGAGGAATCAGAAATGGAAGGAACTGAGGGAACTGCCTCCCTTGATTCCTCAGAAACAGGAGGATTGGGAGGAGAAAAGGGAATAGAATAAGGAGCCAAAGGTGGAGGGGAAGGAGGAAGTGAAGAGGAAGAGGGAGATTCAGATGCATGAGGGGTTTTTAAAGGGTAAGATGGTTTCATAGAAAAGAACATAACGAGAAGTGAAGACTCGGTGATCAGATAAGTCAAGGAGCTTGTAACCCTTGATCCCAGCAGGAAAGCCAAGGAAGATGCACTGAATGGCTCGTGGATGGAACTTGGTACGACCATGAGCAAGGGTGGAAGCATAACCGAGGCAACCAAAGACCTTTAAATTGCTGAGATCAGGTGGTCGATGGAACAGAATTTCATAAGGGGAACGATTCTGTAAAATGGGAGTGGGAAGTCGATTGATTAGATAAACAGAATGGAGGACACAATCACTCCAGAATTGTAATGGCATACTAGATTGGAAACGAATGGCCCTGGCAACATTCAAAATGTGCTGGTGTTTACGTTCAACACGACCATTCTGTTCAGGGGTTTCAACACAGGAGGTATGATGAACAATGCCATGAGTTTTGTAATAATATGCCATATGAAAATCCATACCCTGATCACTACGAATAACCTTAACTCTGTGATCAAACTGGCGATGAACCAAAGTGCAAAAACCCTGTAACAACTCCCTAGTTTCACCCTTGTCATGCATCAAATAAATCCACACAGCTCGACTATGATCATCCACAATAGTAAGAAAATAAGCATAGCCATCATAGGATCTCACAGACAGGGGGCCCCATATATCGACATGAATCAATTGAAAAGGAATCAAAGCAGTGCTATCATTAACAGGGAAGGGAAGTTTCTTTTGTTTGGACAAATGACAAGTTTCACAGTGAGAAACAACTTCACTGGTAACAATGGAATGTTGTTTTTGAAGTAAATGAAACCTATCTCTACCAGGGTGACCTAAACGCCAGTGCCAAAGATCAACAGGATGAGGTTGGAAATTGTAAGTGAATGCAGCCTGAGGGAAGTTGGGAGAAGAAGCAGAAGGTGAAGATGTGGTTGTAGTCAGGAGATATAGACCTCTACTTTATTTTGCCAAACCAATGTTCCTCTGGGTCTGATGGTCATGGAGTTCACAAACATCAGATTTGAAATGCAGAGAAATAGGTAAGTCAGAGGTCAACTTGCTAACAGAAATAAGGTTAAAGGTGAAGCTAGGAACAAGCAAGGTATTGTGTAAAAGAAGGCCAGAAGGAAGTTGTGCAGTGCCTACATGACTAACAGGGATTTTAACACCATTAGGGAGGTAAACAAAACTATTTGTGACTGGAAAAGAGGAAACAAAGTGGGAAGCAGAACATGTGATATGGTCAGAGGCCCCCGTGTCCAAAATCCATATTGAAGCTAAGGTGGAATGATCTATGTCTACATGTGAGGAAAGGACATACTTACCAGCATGATTAGGGAAGGCAGGCAAGTATTGAGACACTGAAAAGGCCTTAGGAGCAATAACTGGGGATCCTGGAGATAGAGGACCTGAGTCCATCCCATACTGCAAAAGCGACTTCAGGGCGGGTAAGATCATCAGAGCAGAGTGTGAGAGATGTCTTGGAAGGACTAGAAGCACCATCAGAGACAGAACTGTTGCTATCAGAAGAAGGGGAATCCTGACCAACAGAACCAGCAAAAGAGTGACTAGCCTTCTCCTTGTCTTTCCTCTTGAGTTTCCAACAGTCCTTAATAGTATGATCAGTGCGTTTACAATAGCGACAAAAAAGCTTCTCAGCACCATCATCTTGTTTACCACGAAAGGGTTCCTTCCTAGCAGCTAAAGCAACTGACTGACCACCCTTGGAAGGGCGGTCACCCTTAAGTTTTTGCTCATGCTGAAGGATGTCATCCACAGCACCAGAAACAGTAGGAAGGGGTTTCTGCATAAGGAGCTGGGTTTTCACAACTTCATTTTCTGGGTTCAATCCCCGCAAAAAACGCAAGAGATAATCAGTTTCCTGCTTCAATTTGAAAGCCTCAACAGCAGCACAGGGATTGGGGTTACCAGGAGCACAGACACAAGGAACAATCGGAGAGAATTGCAGGTAATCCTCCCACAAACCCTTGATATCAGTGTAATATTGAGTAACCGAACGATTCCCTTGCTTACAGGCTTGAATATCATCTTCCAGATTCATGATTCGAA